TTAACCTCCACATCAATCTAAATCATTATACATTTTTCAAAATTCCACCTCGAACACCAAATCCCCGCACTCAACTTTAACTTAGCTAAAAAAGGTAATTGTTCCTTGATCGGTTTTAGCGTAATGGATGTAACATATTCATATTATTATGTAAAATATTCATCTCATAATGAAACATGTTCATCTGAATATTATCTAACATATTCATCCTATTATCCAACATATTAATCTTATTATGTAACATTTTCAATGTATTACGCAACATATTCATCACATAATGCAACATGTTCATCTTGTTATCTAACATATTCATCTTATTATGTATCATATTCATCTCATAATGAAACATGTTCATCTGAGTATTATCTAACATATACATCCTATTATTCAACATATTCATCTTATTATGTAACATTTTCAATGTATTACGCAACATATTCATCACATAATGCAACATGTTCATCTTATTATAAAACATGTTCATCTTGTTATCTAACATATTCATCTTAATTTTTAACATGTTTAATGGATTTCGCAACATGTTCATCTCATAATGGTACATTTTTTTTATCTGAGTATTATCCAACATATTTATCTTCATCTGAGTATTATCTAACATATTCATCTTATTTTTTAACATATTCATCTCATAATGAAACATGTTCATCTGAGTATTATCTAACATATTCATCCTATTATCCAACATATTCATCTTATTATGTGACATTTTCAATGGATTACAACATATTCATCTTATCATATAATATATTCATCTCATAATGCAAAATGTTCATCTTAAAATGTATACAACTCTAAATTAATTACTTTAAAAAATATTGCCATGACTGTAAGACACCCAGCAGAACCATAAGTACCATAAAAAAAAGGATGAGCAGCAAAGATAAGGATGAATTTTTTTTGCATTACTTCACTTAATGACATCCGCCCACCATTCAACCATACATTTGCTGCAGTGCAAACTTTAACAATACGAAAAGATAAGAAAATGTATGTTCAACCATACACATTCATTAACCTCCACATCAACCTAAATCAATAGACATTGTTCAAAATTCAACCTCGAACGCCAAATCCCCGCACTGAACTTCGACCTTCCTAAAAATGATAAATATTCCTTGAAATATTTTAGCATAATGGATTAAGTCCTTCAGTCCTGTTAAGATGTGTTTGGGCCCTTCTTTCTTCGCTTGGACAATCCACTGCTTACCCCCAAAACGAATACGTGCAGATTGAACTTCATCATATGTGCCTCTCAATGCTTGATTCCAGTATGTAGATGGAATCGTCTTTTTTATATTGAATTAAAAATATTGCATTACTACAAATTCATTGATATTATTAAAATAACACATGCAATGTTAGTTTTTCTTAATTGAAGATTAATCAAATGTAGATATTTGCAAGTACATATTTGTTACATGTCGGCCGCGGGTAACAAGAGTGCGGGAAGCCTTTATACGGAACCCACCAACAAGAGCTTCCTCGTCTATATCATCCAATTCCTCATCATCTTCAATGGAAGGTCCCAAAAATGATCTAAGGTATCTCCGACAACAATCAACGTCAAAATGGTAGACAATGAACCTGTTTGGGCACATCGATTTTACGGTTTTTAGTGTTAAATTATTAAAATAATTAACATTTGACCCAAAAAAATAAAAAATAAAAAAACCTGTTTGGGCCTCCAAGTTCGAAAAGAAGTATGTGACCCTCTTGAACAGAATTATCTCTTTTAAATTCTTCCCATCCATCTGCAAACTCAATCTTTGTTCCAAGACGTTTAACTACTACTGGCCATTTGAATGCATCTTTATCCTTGCTATTTTGCAATGTGCATTCAGTTGGAAGAAAATGTTCGACAACACTCCGAATCATAGGGGGGATAGCCTAAGAAAAAATACGAATGTGATGAGAGGTATTTATGAAGCATAAATAACTGATGATATTAGACATATATACAAACAGATGTTATAGAATTTAAGCACAATGCATTGTTCAAAATCAGAAACATAACACTAACCAAATTGTTGCTGTTAGGGTTGATGACGTTCATTAACATAAAGCGGTTAAGCTCAACAAATTAGGGCGACTGCAGCCAGTCTCGTTGGGCGCATGACACCGGTGGGTTACCCGATTTTTCTGAGTCCAGCTATGATCAAAGTGGTAAAACTCAAAATTGTTTGGTTTCACTAATTTGAAAGCCAAAAAATCGGCGCTTTTGACATCGTTCTGTATGGCGAAATTAACCCATCCCTCAGTAAAACATATTTCACCACCAAAATTGTCCACTTTCATATCCCATTTTAATCCACAGTCGATTGTGTCACTATGGAATGTACAGTTGATGGGCAGATGGCCATCGAAAAATCCACTAATTGCAGGTGGAAGAGCCTATTATGCAAATTATCAACGTTATGCAAAACAATATGATAAGAACATTTAGGGTTTACTATAAATAACACATCTCATAACTTAAAATAAAACGTGTACCAGAAATGGTTGAACTTCTGGATGAATGACTTTGATAAATGTATTGACTTCTGAAACAGACATTGAATATTTTTTGAAGACCTCTTGTTTTCACTGAACGACGTTGTGATTTATGAAGGAGAAGATTGCTTTTTATTTTTATTGGGCGGTAATGAAGGAAAATTGTGAATAAGTTGGGGTTGAGATACCGAGATATTTATTAAATCTGATGAAGGCGTTGGGATGTAAATGAATGTCATACATGTCTTTTCAAATGGTCATTCCTATTTTGTTGACACATACGAATTTGACCAATTTTTACATGTATTTACATATTTTTAGGTAATGTGTAATTATTTGGATTTTAAATTAATTATCTATACAAATACTGGTACTAGCAATTAATTTTAATTATTATTATCTATACAAATAATATAAAATTAAATATTAACTTACGTTTAG